CTTTGTATTTGTTGATACAAGAATTGTTCAAGGGTCCTTTGTATTTGTTAATACAAGAATTGTTCAAGGGTCCATTGTATTTGTTGATACAAGGATTGTTCAAGGATCAATTGTATTTGTTTCTACAAGGATTGTTCAAGGGTCCTATTTGTTGATACAAGGATTGTTAAGGATCCATTGTATTTGTTGCTACAAGAATTGTTCAAGGGTCCATTGCATTTGTTGCTACAAGGATTGTTCAAGGATCCATTGTATTTGTTGCTACAAGGATTGTTCAAGGGTCCATTGTATTTGTTGCTACAAGGATTGTTCAAGGGTCCGTTGCAAGAATTGTTCAAGGGTCCTTTGTATTTGTTGCTAAAAGGATTGTTCAAGGGTCCATTGCATTTGTTGCTACAAGGATTGTTCAAGGGTCCATTGCAAGAATTGTTCAAGGGTCCAGTGCATTTGTTGATACAAGGATTGTTAAGGATCCATTGTATTTGTTGCTACAAGGATTGTTCAAGGGTCCAGTGCATTTGTTGCTACAAGGATTGTTCAAGGGTCCAGTGCATTTGTTGCTACAAGGATTGTTCAAGGGTCCATTGCAAGAATTGTTCAAGGGTCCTTTGTATTTGTTGCTAAAAGGATTGTTCAAGGGTCCAGTGCATTTGTTGCTACAAGGATTGTTCAAGAGTCCATTGCAAGAATTGTTCAAGGGTCCAGTGCATTTGTTGATACAAGGATTGTTAAGGATCCATTGTATTTGTTGATACAAGGATTGTTCAAGGATCCATTGTATTTGTTGCTACAAGGATTGTTCAAGGGTCCATTGTAAGAATTGTTCAAGGGTCCTTTGTATTTGTTGCTAAAAGGATTGTTCAAGGGTCCATTGCATTTGTTGCTACAAGGATTGTTCAAGGATCCATTGCAAGAATTGTTCAAGGGTCCAGTGCATTTGTTGATACAAGGGTCCATTGTATTTGTTGCTACAAGGATTGTTCAAGGGTTGCTACAAGGATTGTTCAAGGGTCCTTTTTGTTGCTACAAGGATTGTTCAAGGATCCATTGCAAGAATTGTTCAAGGGTCCAGTGCATTTGTTGATACAAGGATTGTTCAGGATCCATTGTATTTGTTGCTACAAGGATTGTTCAAGGGTCCAGTGCATTTGTTGATACAAGGATTGTTAAGGATCCATTGTATTTGTTGCTACAAGGATTGTTCAAGGGTCCAGTGCATTTGTTGCTACAAGGATTGTTCAAGGGTCCAGTGCATTTGTTGCTACAAGGATTGTTCAAGGGTCCATTGCAAGAATTGTTCAAGGGTCCAGTGCATTTGTTGATACAAGGATTGTTAAGGATCCATTGTATTTGTTGCTACAAGGATTGTTCAAGGGTCCAGTGCATTTGTTGCTACAAGGATTGTTCAAGGGTCCAGTGCATTTGTTGCTACAAGGATTGTTCAAGGGTCCATTGCAAGAATTGTTCAAGGGTCCAGTGCATTTGTTGATACAAGGATTGTTAAGGATCCATTGTATTTGTTGCTACAAGGATTGTTCAAGGGTCCATTGTATGTTTCATACAAGGATTCCTCAAATGTACATTGTATTCATTGATACAAGGATTTCATGAGGTTCAGGTGTACCTGTTGATCAGATTGTATTGTCGCTATCTGTAAGTGTAACAGCCTGACACAAGAAGCGTGGGTTGTACTTACATCAAAGTCTGATAACAAGGGGCTATTAATAGCAGAGTATGTTGATCCTTATCATATCTGATATTTATAGATGCAATGCATTGTCTGCCTTGCGACCTGGTATCATCCATGCAGCCACTTTAACAGGCGTTATGAGCCATATCACACAAGAGAGCTGATAGCAGGGATAGAAATAGCAAGCAGATAACAGGCAGATGTGTTAACAATAAATATGATAATTATCAATAACCATAATAATAACCTGGGCTGCAGGTAGAGTGAGCAAGGGTGCTTGAGCTGATGATGAGCCAAACTAGCCTGACTATGGCACGATCACCGAGACCCCTCCCTGCTGCATTTATTTTAATCTGTAAATTATCATAATAAACACTTAATGGTTGCTTGGCTACTCTTTGCAAATACTGACTGATGGTTGCAAGGCTCTCCACCCAAATAATGTCTGATTGTTCTTAGGCTGTTCTACCCCACTACTGCCAGATGGTTGCTAGGCTGTTCTGGCCCACTACTGCCAGATGATTTGCTAGGCTGTTCTGGCCGACTACTGCCAGATGGTTGCTAGGCTGTTCTGGCCCACTACTGCCAGATGGTTGCTAGGCTGTTCTGCCCCACTACTGCCAGATGGTTGCTAGGCTGTTCTGCCCCACTACTGCCAGACTGTTGCTAGGCTGTTCTGTCCCTCTACTGCGAGATGGTTGCTAGGCTGTTCTGCCCCTCTACTGCCAGATGCTGCCCCTCTACTGCCAGATGGTTGCTATGCTGTTCTACCCCATTACTACCAGATGGTTGCTAGGCTGTTCAACCCCACTTCTGCCAGACGGTTGCTGGGCTGTTCTGCCCCTTTACTGCCAGACAGTTGCTAGGCTGTTCTACCCCACTACTACCAGACGGTTGCTAGGCTGTTCAACCCCACTACTGCCAGATGGTTGCTGGGCTGTTCTGCCCCTCTACTGCCAGATGCTGCCCCTCTACTGCCAGATGGTTGCTAGGCTGTTCTACCCCATTACTACCAGATGGTTTCTAGGCTGTTCAACCCCACTTCTGCCAGACGGTTGCTGGGCTGTTCTGCCCCTTTACTGCCAGACAGTTGCTAGGCTGTTCTACCCCACTACTACCAGACGGTTGCTAGGCTGTTCTAACCCACTACTGCCAGACTACTGCCAGATGGTTTGCTGGGCTGTTCTGCCCCACTACTACCAGATGGTTGCTAGGCTGTTCAATCCAACCAGACTGCCAGTTGCTAGGCTGTTCTACCCCACTACCCAGACAGTTGCTACTACTGCCAGATGGTTGCTAGACTGTTCTACCCCATTACTACCAGACAGTTGCTAGGCTGTTCTACCCCACTACTACCAGATGGTTGCTAGGTTGTTCTACCCCACTACTGACAGATGGTTGCTAGGCTGTTCTACCCCACTACTGCCAGATGGTTGCTAGGCTGTTCTACCCCACTACTGCCAGATGGTTGCTAGGCTGTTCTACCCCACTACTGCCAGATGGTTGCTAGGCTGTTCTACCCCACTACTGCCAGACAGTTGCTAGGCTGTTCTACCCCACTACTGCCAGATGGTTGCTAGGCTGTTCTACCCCATTACTACCAGATGGTTGCTAGGCTGTTCTACCCCACTACTGCCAGATGGTTGCTAGGCTGTTCTGGCCCTCTACTGCCAGATGGTTGCTAGGCTGTTCTACCTCACTACTACCATACGGTTGCTAGGCTGTTCAACCCCACTACTGACAGATGGTTGCTAGGCTGTTCTACCCCATTACTACCAGACAGTTGCTTGGCTGTTCTGCCCCTCTACTGCCAGATGGTTGCTAGGCTGTTCTACCCCAGCTAGTTCTTTTCTCTGATCTTATTGTCCAAGTCAGTGTGGGGGATATTAGCAAAATAAGAATTTTATCTTGTTGAAATTTCGAAGAATGTTATTTACCATATCTTTAATATGATACACATCGTAATAGATTGTGAAACAGGTGTCCTCATTGTGATACACATTGTGATAGATTGTGAAACAGGTGTCCTTATTGTGATACACATTGTGATAGATTGTAGGGGAGATAACTCTGATATCAATTCATAAATGTGATTCTCGATCATCAGTTCTCTTTCAGAAAGAAGCCCTTGTAGTCAAAGGTCCATCAATACAATGATTTATTATCATAATGATGTGTATACTCACACATCGACCACTGGTTACCAGTTCTGATCTGATCCAGTGTGCAGTCATGCATTGTGTTGTCAAGGCATTGTTAGGTACTCATGCGTCGACCACTGGGTGTTGCTAGGTACTCACACACCACGACCACTGGGTGTTGCTAGGTACTCACACATCAACCATGGGTGTTGCTAGGTACTCACACACCGACCACTGGGTGTTGCTAGGTACTCACACACCAACCACTGGGTTTTGCTAGGTACTCACACATCAACCATGGGTGTTGCTAGGTACTCACACATCGACCATTGGGTGTTGCTAGGTACTCACACATCAACCATTGGGTGTTGCTAGGTACTCACACATCGACCATTGGGTTGCTAGGTACTCACACATCGACCATTGGGTGTTGCTAGGTACTCACACATCGACCATTGGGTGTTGCTAGGTACTCACACATCGACCATTGGGTGCTAGGTGCTAGGTACTCACACACATCGACCACTGGGTGTTGCTAGGTACTTACACATCAACCATTGGGTGTTGCTAGGTACTCACACATCGACCACTGGGTGTTGCTAGGTACTCACACATCAACCATTGGGTGTTGCTAGGTACTCACACATCAACCATTGGGTGTTGCTAGGTACTCACACATCGACCATTGGGTGTTGGTAGGTACTCACACACCGACCACTGGGTGTTGCTAGGTACTCACACATCGACCATTGGGTGTTGCTAGGTACTCACACATCGACCACTGGGTGTTGCTAGGTACTCACACATCGAAGATTGGGTGTTGCTAGGTACTCACACATCGACCACTGGGTGTTGCTAGGTACTCACACATCAATCATTAGGTGTTGCTAGGTACTCACACATCAACCATTGGGTGCTGCTAGGTACTCACACATCGACCATTGGGTGTTGCTAGGTACTCACACATCAACCACTGGGTGTTGCTAGGTACTCACACATCAACCATTGGGTGTTGCTAGGTACTCACACATCAACCACTTAGTTTTGTGAAGTCATGTATCATAGAAAATAGCTTTTGACGTGCTTCCTTCACCCTTTCCATGTATGGTATCATCAGAGCTTGCAAAATTCTTTTATGTCAGTGATAACGATTTGACAATTATTTTCAGGTGGCCATTAAAATTATTGACAAGACCCAGCTTGACGAAGCCAACTTGAAGAAGGTGTACCGTGAAGTTCAGATCATGAAGCTGTTATCTCATCCACACGTCATCAAGCTGTACCAGGTGAGTGCTGAATACACAACGTAATTTCAGACGACACAAGATTTTACTGTGCGGTACAACTGTGTGATACGACTGATATGACAGTGATACAACTGTGTGATACCACTGTGGCACAACTGTATGATACGACAGTGATACAACTGTGATACAACTGTGTGATACAATTGTGTGATACAACTGTGATAAAACTGTGTGATACGACTGTGATACAACTGTGTGATGCCACTGTGGGACGAGTGTGTGATACGACTGTGATACAACTGTGTGATACAATTGTGTGATAAAACTGTGTGATACGGCTGTGTGATATGACTGTGATACAACTGTGTGGTACAACTGTGTGATATGACTGTGATACAACTGAGTGATACGACTGTGATACAACTGCGTGATATGACTGTGATACAACTGCGTGATACGACTGTGATACAACTGCGTGATACAACTGCGTGATACGACTGTAATACGACAGTGTGATACGACAGTGATACAACTGCGTGATACGACAATGTGATACGATAGTGTGATACGACAGTGTGATACGACTGTGATACAACTGTGTGATACAACTGTGTGATATGACTGATACAACTGCGTGATACGACTGTGATACAACTTCGTGATACAACTGTGATACAACTGTGATATGACAGCGTGATACGACAGCGTGATACGACAGCGTGATACGATAGTGTGATACGACAGTGATACAACTGTGTGATAAAAGTGTATGATGCAGCTGTCTGATGCATATGGTAGAACAGCCAGGTGTGCGAGATACACGTGTGCGATTGAAATTGAAATTTCACTACACGCTTGTTGATTACGTGGCTGTTCTACAAAAATGATCGTTTGTTAAACAACTCTTTTATTCAGGGTGTCCAAAATTATGAGACAAATCATCAGAGTTGGTCTGTCGATTTTATGTGACTGTGCAAAATTTGGTTTTGTTGCAATTATTACATTTTGTATTGGTGAACAATTCATTCCTTAGACTGACCAGCGGATTTATTGTGCTGGGACTATTTTCAGGTGATGGAGACTAAGAACATGCTCTATTTGGTGTCGGAATATGCGCCCAACGGGGAGATTTTCGGTGAGTACAGCTAACAAATTCGTAGTAAAACTCTCACATCATTCACCAAAGATTATTCATGATTTTAGCAGGCTCTTACTGAGCAATACATTGTGCCAATATCCATGGCAATTGAGGTTAGAGGCAAATCATTTGCTCTGTGAGTCCGATAGGATGATATCATATTGCTAAAACCAATTTAATTATGGCGGGGGGAAAACATGCATGTAAACATTATCTATCCATCTTTGTTAATAATAATGACTGTATCAATAATTACACAATCACAAATACTTCTGTTTGGTATTATGTGCATAGTTGTTTATCTGGTATCTTGCTGCCTTCGTGAGACGACTGCTTTGTATGTTTCCCATGGAGCTGAGATTTTAGGTTGAGTTAGTGATTCCCGATTAATTGAAATAATTGAAGATTGGTCGTAGTGACCATACTACCAAGCAATCAATCATTTTCTCACAATTGAGCACAAACAATTTTGGAACTACTGTTTTAGTGTTTGAAACACTTGAGGATGGAACATATCAGATGGTGTCAGTGCCTTAAAAATTGTTTAATTCTTAGAAAACTCGTGATATGTTCATGTCATATTGGTCATCACTTAGTCATCAAGTAGAAAGCTGAATCATCTTACATTGGATGTCAAATTTGCAAATGCAACTTGCACAGTTTCTAAATAAAACAAAAAGCAACCAGTTCCCAACACTAGGTAGAGTGCACACTGATCTGAAGACCAGGGTTAATCGTAACTCGTTATCTTACCTTCATGTAAAATACTGAAATTTCATTGGTCAATGACGCTTTTACAAGTTTCCGTGTCACCCATTGCACACTCAACTTAAACATAATTAACCATTTTTTTAGCAGTTTTAAGCTTCTGAGAATATGTTTCACTGATTTTGAAAATGCAATACAATTTATTTGCCACTAAACTCACTCACTCACTCAATGAGAACAGGTGAGCTCCGGTTCTAATTTGTTCATATGTGTTAAGCTGTCTGAGCTACAGCTGCTGGTGACTGGTCAGCTGTTTGACTCTTTTATAAAATCAAAGAAAGCCTTTAACAGCATGTTGACTGACCTTTGTCAGTTTTAGATGTACACATGGGACAAGATTCCAGACTTACTAGATTTCAACCACTTTAAAAGTATGTGATGAATATTGCTCACATACTTAGAGAATATTTGCAAGTTATATGTTATTGCTGTTACACTGCTGGAATGTTGCTGTTATTCCTCTGGAATGTTCCTGTTATACTTCTGGAATGTTCCTGTTATACTGCTGGAATGTTCCTGTTATACTGCTGGAATGTTCCTGTTATACTTCTGGAACGTTGCTGTTAATGTTCCTGTTATACTGCTGGAATGTTGCTGTTACACTGCTGGAATGTTGCTGTTACACTGCTGGAATGTTGCTGTTACACTGCTGGAATGTTGCACTGCTGGAATGTTGCTGTTACACTGCTGGAATGTTGCACTACTGGAATGTTGCTGTTACACTGCTGGAATGTTGCTGTTACACTGCTGGAATGTTACACTGCTGGAATGCTGCTGTTACATACTGCTGGAATGTTGCTGTTGTATACTGCTGGAATGTTGCTGTTATACTGCTGGAATGTTGCTGGAATGTTGCAGTTATACTGCTGGAATGTTGCTGGAATGTTGCACTGCTGGAATGTTGTGTTATACTGCTGGACTGTTGCTGTTATACTGCTGGAATGTTGCTGTTACACTACTGGAATGTTGCTGTTACACTACTGGAATGTTGCACTGCTGGAATGTTGCTGTTACACTACTGGCATGTTGTATACTGCTGGAATGTTGCTGTTATACTGCTGGAATGTTGCTGTTATACTGCTGGAATGTTGCTGTTACACTGCTGGAATGTTGCTTGTATACTGCTGGAATGTTGCACTGCTGGAATGTTGCTGTTACACTGCTGGAATGTTACACTACTGGAATGTTGCTGTTATACTGCTGGAATGTTGCTGTTATACTGCTATAATGTTGCTGGAATGTTGCACTACTGGAATGTTGCACTGCTGGAATGTTGTGGTATACTGCTATAATGTTGCTGTTATACTGCTGGAATGTTGCTGTTATACTGCTGGAATGTTGCTGTTATACTGCTGGAATGTTGCTGTTATTACTGCTGGAATGTTACTTTTATACCACTGGAATATTGCTGTTATACTGCTATAATGTTGTGGTATACTGCTGGAATGTTGCTAGTATACTGCTGGAATGTTGCTTTTATACCACTGGAATATTGCTGTTATACTGCTGGAATGTTGCTAGTATACTGCTGGAATGTTGCTGTTATGATACTGGAATGTTGTTATACTTCTGGAATGTTGCTGGTATACTTCTGGAATGTTGCTGATGTTCTGTGATGTTGCTAGTATATTACTTGAATACTGCTGGAATTCTGCTAGTATATTGCTGGAATGTTCTTAATATATTGCTGGAATGTTCCCAGTATTTTGCTGGAATATTGCTGGCATATTGCTGGAATGTTCCCAGTATATTGCTGGAATGTTCTTAATATATTGCTGGAATGTTCCCAGTATTTTGCTGGAATATTGCTGGTATATTGCTAGAATGTTCCAAGTATACTACTGGATTATGATGGGATACTTCTGGAATGTTTCAGAATGTTGTCAATACACTGCTGATATGTTATGAGAATGTTGCCAGCATATTGCTTAACACGAGAGCTCATTCCGTCACCCTTGACCTCACCCATTGTCAAGTGAACCATGACCACAGGTACTTCTGTATACTTCCGGCAAGTGATAGTTGTGTGTGCCTGGGACAGGGGAGGTCACACCTGCTAATGATAGGCTCTCTGCCTCAGCAAACCCTTTGTCCAGTGATCCATGACTGAGAGTGCTACTCTGTACTTCCGGGCAAGTGACAGTTGTGTGGGACAAGGGAGGTCACACTAGTGATTGACAGGCTGTCAGCGTTAGCCGACCCTGATGAATGCTGATGTCACATTTTACAACCTAAATCTGCCAGAAGATCCTGAGGCGAAGTCATCACGCATAAAGTCAATCTTTGTGAATGAGCAAGAAGGATCACAGAACAATGATTCCTTTCCTCTGTCAAAACATTTTGTCAGCCGACAGTTCGTTGGAGGGACTGGAGGAGATTGTGAAAACTGACAAATATAATATCTCAATTTTAGCAATATTCTTGGTGTATGAAACAGTTTTGAAGAAAATCCCCATGATATTATGCATGGAGTTATATTCAAATTCGCTTAGTCTTAATTATTATGATTTGAATTTCCCATAGGGCTTGAAAAGGTAAGATCTAACACAGGCTGATAGAGTACAGTAACCTGGATGTGTCATATCAGTATTTTTTTTTTTTATCACTTTATTTCTTTAAAATGGGTACATAATTTATGCATTTGTGGTACATGTAAATATTATAAAACAAGGACATGGGTGGTAGATAATCCGTAGGCGATAAGAATACATTTGTTGTTGCAATTTATGTGAAGAGGTTATGGCAAGATGACCAAAAGGTGAAGAATTTACCATAGTTGCATTGCGAAAAGGCAGCACATTTGTCAATTTCAGACAAGTTGTGTAGATAATGTTTTAATCCAGCAATCTGTGGATGCGAATTGGAACATCTCTTTGCATATATATAGTATTTTGTTGCGATGATAATAAGGTTTAGTACATCATTTCTTTTTTTTATATCCAAAGATGATATGTTTTGCATATCAGTTTCACTGTACTCTGCACTCAGACAGACAGGGCCGGTGGGGTAGCCTAGTGGTGAAAGCGTTCACTCCACACGCTGAAGACCCGGATGGATTCCCTACATGGGTACAATGTGTGAAGCCAATTTCTGGTGTTCCCCCGCCGATGATATTGCTGGAATATTGCTAAAAGCGGCGTAAAGCTAAACTCACTCACTCACTGTACACAGACAGAAAACCACGAGTATCTTTTGATGTATACTGTACCAGTGTATAGAAGGTTGAATATCATACACGAGCCAAGGAGTGAACAAGTTATTTACGGTTGTTGATATATTTGATGTCATATTACATAAGAGTGAACCAGATTCTGCCAGCGTCTTCAGTTTGACCGGGGCCGTGGGGTAGCGTAGTGGTTAAAGCATTTGCTTGTCACGCTGAAGGCCTGGGTTCTATTCCCCATCTGGGTACAATGTGTGAAGCCCATTTCTAGTGTCTCCCGCCGTGATATTGCTGGAATAGTGCTAAAAGCGTCGTAAAACCCCCACTCACTCACTCGCTCATCCGTGGTTCGTTTCAAGAATCAGAGCTGATAGGTAGGGATTCTATTATCATCAAGACCATTAAATGGTTTCTACAGACTTCATAATGAGTGGTCTATCAGCCGTCTGACTTGTATTTGTGTACGTCTGCTTCAGTGTTTATAATTAGGATGCAGGTGTCGTTGAAGTTTTCTACGATTTTATATGCATTGGGTCGCACTAAGTAGTTTAAAATTATGACCCTTGACATGTTGAATTTTGTACACTGTTGTTGCAGCAACTTATCAAATTTGTTTCCATGGTAACCTGTACACACTGACTTTGCCTACTCAAGTTCCTCATGTGGCATAATTACCTGTTGCGGTGGTTACAGATTTGTAAATGCCATGGACATATCCTGTAAGTTAAAATTAAAATATCCATAACATTTTTAATTCACTATTTTCATGATGAATAATGCATGTCCTGGTTATTAAATAGAATTTGCCGTGTGGAAACCTTCCCAAGACAGGAATTGGCGAAAACATCAGATTTCACTGACGTCAGTGGTTTTGGAAAGAAAAGTTTTTTAATATACCAGCAAAATCAATAATCTCCCAGTACAGATGTACCTGTGTTCATTTGACCCAGTTTACCTTAGAGCCAGGTCTGTTTCGTCTCCTGTGAAGCCATATTTGGCCAAGAGACTGACCTTGCCCCTGGTGCCTGTCCTCTGTTAGGTCTGGATGTATCAAATGTGTTCGTTT